CTTTGGAATCGCCTCAGCTTGGGTCGAAGAGGGGGGGGGGGAGGGGCTCAGGAACAAAGAAGGGGGAGGGGAGGGTCCGGTGCTCAGGGAGGGGGACTGCGGCTATGTGCACTGCCGACGCATAGTTTAAAGTGCCGCGGCGCAGGCCAAGCGAAGGGGTTGTCCACTTCAATGCGGCACAATGACCGGAGTTCGTTCCTCGGGAACATGCGTCGGCATTGAAGCGGGAGCTATCGAGAGGTCACGTCGGTCTGTGCCGCCCTCCCTCCCTCCTGTCACATCACGACATAAATGTCGGCCGCTGCGTGCTCCAGGCCGGCATGCATGCGGCGCGGTAAGTGATGTCAATTGAAACTGCGTCGGTATTTCCCGAAAGAGGAAGGGATGATGCAGTATAGCTACGGTAGGTATTTCCCTTAGTTATGAAACCAAGATATCAATCTAGTAGGAGAACCAAGCAACATTATGTAAACGGTATCTTCACACAAAGAAGAGGGGTTGTCAATCCCTCCTAGGTAACGGCACCAGAAATTGGCAAGTTGACGGGAGAATATTTGTGATAGATTGGATAAATAGCTCTAGGTAAAATATAAATAAAATAAGTAATAAAAAATGCAGCAAAATATTTTGGGTCTTTGGAATCGAAAAATAAAAACGAATAAAATAGATGTCCAAGAGACCATTGTATTGAGAATCAAAAGACAGAGAACAAGCCATCTAGCTACTGCCTACGGACCGGTAGGGCTATGGTGGACTATTCACACATCATCGGAGAGGCACCAATGAGAATGATGAACCCCTCCGTGACAGTGTTAGATTGGATCTCGTGGTTCACTTGAGGCAACTGGAATTGTGTTTCGTCGGATCCCCTAGGGTTTCTGGAATATTTTTATAGGGTAAAGAGGCGGTGCAGGGGGACTACGAGGGGGCGGGCGGCACACCCCTGGGCGCGCCTAGGCTCCTGGGCGTGCCCTGGTGGGTTGTGCTCCCCACAGGCCTCCCCTCTGGTACTTTCTTGGCCCATACGGTGTCTTCTGGTCCAGAAAAAATCTCCAAAACTTTCACTACGTTTGGACTTCGTTTGGTACTGATATTCTACTAAGTAAAAAACTAGCAAAAAACAGGAATTGGCACTGGGCACTATGTCAATAGGTTAGTCCCAAAATATGATATAAAGGTGCCATAAAATGATTGTAAAATATCCAAGAATGATAATATAACACCATGGAACAATGAAAAATTATAGATACGTTGGAGATGTATCAGCATCCCCAGGCTTCATTCATGCTCGTCCTCGAGTAGGTAAATGATAAAAACAGAATTTTTGATGTGGAAGGCTGCCTAACATGTTCATCGCACAACAGCTCGTCCTCCTGCTTGTTGAAGCTTTCTCCTCTACCCTTCTTCTTCGAATCGCCGGTTGTATCATCCGGATCATCGTCCTCGCTGTCCTCCTCCTCCTCCTCACCCTCATCCTATTGTTGCTTTCCAGCGCGCAAAATGGTGTTGTCGTTGTGTGCCCATGCCAGTCTGCGTGTAAGACAGTTGCGTGCCCGTTTGGGTGTAGGTTTGCTGTTAAGCATAGTTGCCAGACTGGGTGGGATCCGAGTCTTCCACTGGTCCGTCCTCATAGCCACATTCTCCCCCTTCGCCTCCGTCATGGATGATGTCAAGCATCTCCCTGTCTGGGCCGTCATACGCTGGGTCCCCCGCTCTAGGCATTGTAGCGAACATCGTGCGAGCACCCATCTACTGCCCGCCCGCCGTCCACGCCCGGACAAGTATCAGCGAAGAACACTCGGAGAAGAGTGGCGCCACGTTTACCTCGACCATGTAAGGCACCCTCCCGGCGGCGGTCCCGGGCTGCTTGGAGGCGTAGAAGTACAAAGACTTGTAAGGCTCCGGCCACGGCTACACTTGTACTATTGGCGCGCCTGTCTGGGCACCCTGGCCTTCGCCGAGGCGTCCGCCACGTTTGACATGATCACCACCCCGGATGCCAGCACCACGACCACCGGCGGCCATCCGCTTCTTGAGCTTATCTTCCTTTGCGTCCTTCACTTTGATGCAGCGAGTTTGCCGCGTGGCCGAGCTGATCTTCCGAGCAAGCATGATGCTCGGATCCTCCTGCACATCCGCCGCCACCTCCATCTCCGATAGGTTCTCCGAAGGTTCCATGCGTCGGTGGCAGAAGGATGTAGAGGGTGGGAGAAAAGGGTGGGAATTGAGTGAAGAGAGTAGGGGATTTTAGGGCGGAAACAGTGTGGGTTGCTACAAAAGCATGGGCTCCGCCTTCCTTTTGGGTGGGCCAGCAGCGTCAAATTTCATCGTTTCTTATGTCAAGAATTCCGTAAAACCCATCCACGTTTGAGTCTGGTTTGCAGGAAAATCATGGTCCGGACAGCCCTGCGAACCGATATAGGACCGTGTTGGCTTGTTTTCATGGTCCGAATAGTACGGTTGAAAAGTACGTGTACGTGTTTTGAGAGTCGCTGTTGGAGATGCCCAACGGTGTATATTGATCGAGACTTTGCAATGGTGGCACGTCGAATCCCACCTAGGTAACGGCGCCAGAAATTGGCAAGTTGACGGGAGAATATTTGTGATAGATTGGATAAATAGCTCTCGATAAATAAAATAAGTAATAAAAAATGTTGCAATATATTTTGGGCCTTTGGAATAATAGATCTGAAAATAAAAGCGAATAAAAACAGCACTCCTGTCTGGGGCCGTAAATTTCACTAGTGGTTGCTCTCAAGAAATAGCACACTATGGGTAAAGAAATTATTGTTGGCCAATTGATAGAAGATTGAATAATTATGACGATATCCAAGGCAATGATCAATATATAGGCATCACATCAAGAATACTAGACCGACTCCTGCCTGCATCTACTACTATTACTCCACACATCGACTGCTATCCAGCATGCATCTAGTGTATTAAATTCATGGAGAAACACAGTAATGAAATAAGAACGATGACATGATGTAGATGAGATCTATTCATGTAGGAATAGCCCCCATCTTGTTATCCTTAATAGCAACGATAGATGCGTGTCTTGCTTCCCCTTCTGTCACTGGGAACGAATACCTCAAGATTGAACTCATCACAAAGCATCTCTTCCCATGGCAAGAAAAATCGATCTAGTTAGCCTAACTAAACCAAAGATTTGAAGAAGAAATACGAGGCTATAAATAATCATGCATATAAGAGATCAAAGAAGACACAAATAATATTCATGGATACATATCTGATCATAAACTCAAAGTTCATCACATCTCAACAAACACACCGCAAAAAGAGTTACATCAAATAGATGTCCAAGAGACCATTGTATTGAGAACCAAAAGATAGAGAACAAGCCATCTAGCTACTACCTACGGACCCGTAGGTCTATGGTGGACTATTCTCACATCACCGGAGAGGCACCAATGAGGATGATGAACCCGTCCATGACGGTGTTAGATTGGATCTCGTGGTTCTGTAAATTGCGGCGGCTGGAATTATGTTTCGGCGAATCCCCTAGGGTTTTTGGAATATTTGGTAATTTATAGGGAGAAGAGGCTGTGCAGGGGACTACATGGGGGCGGGCGTGTAACACCCTCGATGCGACTATAGCTCCCACGTGTTGAGGCACGACTTAGAGACATAATCGCATTGGAGGCATATGTCGCAAGTTAGGCAATCTTTACAACATCCCATATAATATGATAATAAAAGGGAGATAACATAGTTGGCTTACACTCGCCACGTCAATCAAGTACATAAATAACATTACATCATCCAAACACTCATGGCCCGACTACGGCGCCAAAATAAAAGAGAACCCAACATGCGACACGGTCCCATTCACCCCCAACTGGGCACCACTACTGATCGTCGGGAAAGAAAACATAGTATCGTTGAGAGTCTT